GCTTATTGGGATCTGCCTGCCTGTGTTTAAATCTCAATCTACCCTGGCGCGTCTCCATGTTGCCACCTTTTAGAGCCTGCTTTGGCTGAGGTCGTTCTAGCGCTCTCGCCTTGTTATTTAATTAGTAATCGTTTATTTAAGAGTGCCCCTCATTTATTTCTGGGGTGCCTCTCGGCCCCAAAGTCTTACAACTTGCTATCATTATCATCATCTCCGTTTATAAGCCGATTGTAGGAAGTCACGGTCGGATAGGGCTGGTGGGGTTTTCGTCAGATGAACGCGCGCCAATGTCGGTCGCAAACATCTGAGCTTCTCCCGGGGAGGTTACTGGATGGCGGAGGGCCGAACTTCCCTCGGACACTGTCGCTTCTCCTGAAGGCTGCAGACAGATTCGGGCTGGAGGAGTCTTCCGGAAACAAGGGGACTAAATAAAGACCGAAGCCGATCGGAGTTGTCCGTGGGCAACTAGGACACCCTCCGCTGTGCCGCGCCTGACAGAAGTAGCCGGGCGAATTTATCCTCGCGCTGTTAGAAACGACCCACCATTTGGTTTTGCTCCTGATACAGATGAAAAATCATACAGTGTTACGTGCTAGCCTGTCCTCGGTCCCCACCGGCCGGCGTGTCATCTTGACGAGCGAAGAAACCGCTTGTTCCGGGCGTTCTGTCTGCAAAGCTCGGCGCGTTAATGAACCAAAGCTGGGTTTTATCCCTAGATTATTATGTAACCTTCCCAAACGCGATCGTTAAAGCGCTTATGAAATCTTTCAGAAAGATTTGCTATTAATCCAGTCCCGAAGCGCGTTTACACGGGAGTAGGCAACTTCACCGAAAGCTGCGGCCTGTGTTCCCAAAAGGGGGCGCTTCCATTGTAAGTCTTGTCTCTCCTGTCTACCTTAAGTGGAGCGAAGTCCTTGAAGTGTGCGTCGGACACGTGCAAGTTCATTCTCCAAACCTTCCATGGACTGAATCACTGAATTGGATCTGGGTTTGGAGTAACCTTTCTCTCCTCTCACCCAATTTCCTCGTGCGGGAGAAAGAGTCTCTCTTAAAGTAAGGGAAAAGTAAGAGCTTCCACCCCTGCCGCCTTCTCTAGTTGATCTCCATCACATTGTCTCAATAATGAAAGCAACAAGTCTGGAGAAAGCATTCATCTGAGTGCCTCCCCCCACCCCACCCCACCCATGATGTTGTTGTTATGTTTGGTTGAATCATAGTCTGGTGACTCATCCAAAAGAACCAACCCCCAAATATACATGTCCCTAACATTCTTTATAGTCAGAATAGGAAAGTGATATTCCGTTATGCAGTGTAGGCAGCAGAGGTGGAAAAATCCTTTTCCATCTCCAATTGAATCATTATGATAATGTGCACCCACAGCAGGGAGTTATCCAACCATAGCTCCTGGAGGACTGTGACTGCATACACTGGGCTAGTGTTTCACATGATTTCAGCTGTGCTCTTAGAACAGCAGTGAACTGAGAATTGGTCCTTAGTGTTATTGAAATGTGTGCTGGGTCCCTGGCTGTTCAAAACTGAGTGAGACCTGGAAAGGCAAAGGAATTGACTCACACAAGTGTGAGGACCTCTGTTACAGAGACACTGACAGTGCTTTTTTCTTTAGGTAGTCCAGAGAAATTGCCTCTTTCACTGACGCCCAGAGCAGCCAGGCAACCTTTTATACATGATTTTTGAGATCTCTCCCAACTGCCATTCTTTTTTTGAGCTGTGGTTGCCCTCTTAGCATGAAAGCCCAACTTTCTTTAAGGTCACTTCCAGCCTTCAGTCTTCTCATGCAGAGCCTTCCATTCTGAAGTCCGTTTGAAGATGGGGTACTTGCTTGTGCTGTGGAAGAAATCTTTCTCTTTGCTTCCCCATGACTGAAACCCACAGGGCAGGGGAGGGGGGAGTTTCAGTGCTTCCTCCATATGGTGCTAAGGCAGAAGCTGTTGCTCTTATATCTTCCAGATGAACTGGCTCTCACTGAATAAATCAGTGCAAACTTCTTTGTAAACATTTAGCCCAACTTCATGAAAATCCACAAGCCACCTAAACCAATACAGTCCCAAAGCTGTGCATGAAAGTAGATTCAGTTTTAAGTCACTGGCTTAAAATGTACATATTACTTCGGTAGACTTCCTAAATGCATTGTAGCTAGAATTGAACCATGCTATTTCCAGTGGAACTGAATTGCTAGCTGGAATCACCAAGTGGAAATTGCTTTCACTATCTTTAATAACGGAGAAGTTAGTTCAAATGTAGTGTATTTGTATGTTTTAAAAGTGTACTTACAATCAGAACCAAAGTTTTACTGTAAGCTAGTCTTAATGTCACAAAGGACACAAATGTTTTGAGATGGGTGTCTTTCAAAGCTTAGCAGCTCAGATTTGAGGTGGTTTTTTAGGAGGGGGAGTCGCTGTTAATATGCTTTAAGTTAAAGAATTTAATAGACAAAAAATGTAAAGAGTTTAAGATAG